TTCTATGGAATCTAAAAAAAAAACTAATTTGAAAACGAGATTACCATAAGTTTAGCGTCACTTTTTCAAATCTAAATCTAATCTTAACCAAAATCTAAAAAGAGATTATTTAGAGATTAAAAGAGATTTAATTTGACTGCTTGAATAATGTATGAGAACCCTAAACCAGGAATTAGTGCGTGGAGTCAAAATATGTACCCTGTTTTCATTTTAGTTTTTTAAATTTGTTTTCGACCATTTTCATTGTTGAATTGGGGTGACCTTTTGGTTTTAATTTGTTTCTGACTGAAATGCCTTTTGTACTAAAAAAATTGAAGTTTCTTTTATAAGTGACACTAATATCCATCTCTTACATAGCTTTTTACTTTAAAATGAGATACTGTATAATATTGTCTTGAAATTAAGTATGTTTTCCCTATAAAATTTTAGTTCATTTGCATTGATAACTACTAGTATGCTATAATTTCCGATTGGCTTTCTGGTTTCACAGAACTTCATCTAATCTTTCTGCCCTACCAACTGTTAAATAAAATTTATACAGAACTAAGTTAGGTATAGTTATTTTGACATTTTATTTTTAATCATATGAATGATTCAGGCAACACTGGGCGCTGGTTCATCTGATAAAAAGGCCATAGTCCAGTGTTCCATTGGAGGCAAGAAACCGATATATTTATGCTCTCTATTGCCCGAAAGACTTGAGACTTGCCCTCTGAATATTGAATTTGATGATGAGGATGAGGTCACCTTCTCAGTTAAAGGAAATCACCATGTTCACCTCTCTGGTTTCTTTTTGAGTGAATGTGGAGATTGTGATGAAGATGCGTACGGGTCGTATCCTTTTGCTTTCTGCTTCAATTGATTTGGATTTGCCTTTTCTTAAATTTGATGTTCTTTCTACCTATTTGACACTTTCAATGAGTGTTTTCCTTAACATTGTTATAAAGTGATGCATATGAGGATGGCTATGCCGAAAGTGACAGTGGTGCAGATGATTCTTTTTATGATTCTGAGGAGGATGAATTTGAAGATAGTGATATCGATATGTACCCATCTTCACCAGTCCCAAACAGTGGAGTTAGAATCGAGGAAATTGTAGAGGATAAGAATCTCACCAATGAGAATGATGTGTCCCAGGGGCCAAAAAAGAAGAAAAATTGCCTTCCTGAAAGCCAAGAAAACACTTATCAACAGATAGTTGTGAAGAGCAATAAAGGTGATCCTACGGTTGAAAGTGAAGATGAAGATGGCTTTCCGATAGCTACCTCAATTAAGACCAACACTGAAGCAGTGCCCAACAAACCAATATTACAAGAGAGTGATCACGGAACTGATGAAAGAGTCCAGAACGTAAAAAGAAAAATTGATGCTGTCGGGCAAACCACTGGATCCGAAAAGTGAGTTTTCCAATTTCCAGTTAAGTATGTCTTGGAATATGTACCTGTTCTAGTGCTAGTATTTTGTAAGCATTCGTACTTTCTGCATTAATTAAGAATATTTGGCGTTTTGCTCTTTTTTTTGTCTTGTATTTGACATTACTACATCAACCTGTATTTAAAATTACTATTATTTTCAGAAAAACTCTTGCATTTAAGTTACATATCGGTAATTCAGGGTGTAGCATTAGTTTGGCTGTTTGTAAATTATTGAACTCTATGAGTAAACGATGTTTGTTCTTGGATACAGTGCTAAGCAAAAGAAAAAGAATAAGAAGAAGAAGAAGGTTTCAGCTAGCGAGGATACTTGTTTGGAGAGCACTGTGCAATGTAATGATGCTGATGTTCATGATAAAGAGAAAGCTTCATCTGCTGAAAAGGAAACCAATAAGAAGACAACTAATGAAGTGTGAGTGAATAGTTATGTGACCTTTCTTGTGTTCTATTAAATTTGCTTGATAGCCTAGGTAATAGTATTTATCATTGATGAAGAGTTTATCTCTTTAACTGCATTTGAGTTGCCTACTTGCCTCAAAGTATCATGAAGTAGTAGCATTAGTTCTACACAAGTTCGAACTTCCCTCCATCACAACTAATTTTTATTAGAATGACTTCCCAGTAAGGTAGAGACAAAGAAGAAGAAAAAGAGGCAAGAAATAAATGGAGAGCAGAGCTGTGATAAAGAAATTAAATCGTCCATGGAAGTAGAGGAGAAAACTGACGTTAAGCCCTCAAAAGTGAGGACTTATCCTAATGGGCTTGTCATAGAGGAGCTATCAATGGGTAAACCGGATGGTAAAAGAGCTATAGCTGGAAAGAAGGTGACTCTATAGTGTTCTTTTACTTACCCTTTTCTTTTCCTTACCTCTTGTTTGCTTGGGGGGCTTTGAAGGGCAGGGTAACAGTTGTTTTATCAAGATGGAAAATAATGGGTCATCAAGCCAAGAACAGAATAACAGACCCAATTGTTCACATGTAGTTGTTTATAAACTGTTTCTTTTTTCAAAATAGTTAACCTTTGATGATTATTATCCATTTATTAGCATGCCAAACTACATTTGAATTTCAAACATTCACATACTTTTGCCTACTATCACAGGTTAGTGTCCGCTATATTGGCAAGCTGAAGAAGAATGGCAAAATTTTTGACTCAAATATCGGCAAAGCACCCTTTAAATTCCGTTTAGGTATTTTTTTTTCATTCTATTTTTGTGATGAAACCATAATCATGGTTTCCGTTGCTCTAAATTTGTATGTCAACTTTCCATTTCAGGTATTGGTGAGGTTATAAAGGGATGGGATGTTGGTGTTACGGGTAAGCATATCGACTGTATTGAATATTAATCATATTCAGTTTGTTATAAACAATCAATCCTTTCTAATGTGTATATATAATATAACTTAATACCCAAATATCAGGCATGCGTGTTGGGGATAAAAGAAGACTCACCATTCCACCAGCTATGGGGTAATTTACCTCCTTTTCCCCACTGGATAATGCGATTCATTAATATTCAAAGCAAAAATCTCAATGATGTGTTATGTGCTCATGGATGTTCCCTCCACCCCACAAATATAGTGGTTTGGTTTAGTTTTTATATATCCATCCCTGCAATACACTTTCTTTTCTATCCCTATCAATCCTCAAATTATTGACTTTTTTCTGACTGCAGGTATGGAGAAAAAGGTGCTGGTGCGGTTATACCACCAAACTCATGGCTTCTTTTTGATGTTGAGTTAATTAACGTAAATTGATTGTCTCCCATATTTCTCTCTTTGGAAGTGTTATCTTTTTTCCCTTTTGGGCTCCTCTTTCCTTTTGTTAGAAATCAATTTTGGAACACAATCTAATATTGCAACTATATTATGAATTATTGAATGTGTTCGTTCAGACATTATAGTTCCATTGTTACTATGTATTTTTTCTCCAAAACACCAACATTTTGTAGTGTGGAATAGGGATATGATTTGGCTCTCTTCTGGTTTGTATTGTTATTATTAGTGTAAATGCGCACCCGAACCCATCAATTGAGAACCATATCAAAACATAATAAACATTAATATTTGGTTGTGTTAAACCAAGCCACTAAGCCAGAATTAGTGCTGGACTCGGGCGGACTGAACCGGGCCTGAACCGGCCCGGCTACTGTAGCAACCGGCCCGACCCGGTCTAGCGGGCCTCAGGCGGTCCGGGCCTACCCGGCCCGGGGATAGGGCGGTCCGGGCTCGGGACTTCGTAATCTTGAACCGGCCTGGCCGGGCCGGGCCCGGTCCCGGCCTAACGGATCTTTAAAAAAAAAAAAAATAATTTTTTTTGGGCTTTCAAACGGCTCTAATAGCCGTTGGGGTGTTTGGGGACCTCCAAATGGCTCTATAGCCGTTGGAGGGGGGTGGGGGGAGAAAAAAAAACCCTATTTATACTCCTATTTTCTATACACCTTCTTCATACAATCCTACTCTCTAATTCTCTACTCTCTAATTCTCTATTCTCTCAAAGCTCAATCTCTAAAATCTTCATTCATCTCCATCTTCATCTTCTCCAATTATCTCTACATATATATTATTTATAAAAATATTATTATATCTACTTATATATTTATTATCTACTTATATATACATATATTACATTACTAATATTTATTATCTACTTAATATATATTTATTATCTTCTAATTATCTACTTTACATATATATATATATATATATATATATATATATATATATATATATATATATATATATATATATATATATATATATATATATATATATATATATATATATTATATAACTTATATTCCTTATCTACTTAATCTCTACTTATTATTATATCTACTTATATATTTATTATCTACTTATATATACATATAGTACTTTACTAATATTTATTATCTACTTAATATATACTTATAGTAGTATTCAATATAAGTGTATTACTCATCTTATAGTAGTATACTTATATATTATATACTATAAACATTATATATAAAATATACTTATATATATATATAAAACATTATATAGATATATTCGAATTACTATATATATTAATACACTTATACAATTCTATTACCTACAAGTAGTTAATAGAATATTGTTACATTTTAATTAAAGTATAAAAGTAGTTAATTGTTGCATTTGTCATTTCGCTATTAGTTCATTTGTTAATTGTTACATTTTTCATTAAAGTGTACAAGTATTTAATTGTTATATTTTAGTTAAAGTATAAAACTAGTTAATTGTTGCATTTTTCATTAAAGTGTACAACTAGTTAATTGTTACATTTTAAATAAAGTATAAAACTAGTTAATTGTTGCATTTTTCATTAAAGTGTACAACTAGTTAATTGTTACATTTTAATTAAAGTATAAAACTAGTTAATTGTTGCATTTTTCATTAAAGTGTACAAGTATTTAATTGTTATATTTTAATTAAAGTGTACAACTAGTTAATTGTTACATTTTAAATAAAGTATAAAACTAGTTAATTGTTGCATTTTTCATTAAAGTGTACAACTAGTTAATTGTTACATTTTAATTAAAGTATAGCACTTTTATATTTGTTAAGATGGACCGTGGTAGACATTCTGTAGATATGGGAAATCTCCAACGCAACCGAAAGAAGGAGATTGCGAGAACTCATCCTAGTTTGCGCAAGAATACCGGGCAGTCCGGGTCTTCTTCTCAAAGTCGATAAGATTTTGAACCGGAATACCAACGGCGAGATGGCCATGCGATGTTCGACGAGCAACTACAACAACTATTGGCTCAAAATGATGGGCGATTTTTCCATCAACGAGACATCCCAGACGAGATTCACACCATTGACGAAGAAGAGCTCGAGGATGACGATCCGGAGGAGGACGCGGGGGGTGCCGGGAGTCACGGCACCCCGGATGAGGAGCAAGAGGCGGATGACGAGGGTGCTTCATCCCAAACAGGTACGAAATCTAAATCTCCTATTATAGAAAATAATTTTAAAAAGTATAAAGACCCAAGCACCGAGAAATGGTACGCAAGCTGCAACCATTGTGATAAGGTGTATAGCTTGGGAACTTCAGGCGGATACGGGAGCCTCAAAAGGCATCTTATGGGCAAGCACAAGGTGGAGTACGCAAAAATTGAGAAAGGCAAGGGGAAGCAAACACAAATATCGAGGTTTGCAAATAACCAACCTTATGGCAATTTCTCGTACAGTGATCAACAACATTTGACGGGTATGGCTAACTTTATGGTTGAAGAAAATTTACCTTATCTGTTTTCTGAAAGTGTTTCTTTTCAAGAGTATGCACAAACTTGTTTAAATCCTCAATTTCGAAGTTTTAGTCGAAAAACGGTTAAGAAAGAAATTATAAGGCTTTATAAGGCGGAAAAGGCAAACGTACAAATTTTTTTTGCAAACTATGATGGGCGTGTTACTGTTTGTTCTGACATATGGGAGGACACTTATCATAATTTACATTATTTGGGTTTGATTGCACATTATGTTGATGATGATTGGAATATGCATAAACGTGTTCTTGCTTTTCGTGAATTTAATGATCGTCACACCGCTGAACATATTTATATTTTGATTGAACGTATTTTAATTGAGTATAATTTGGTTAATAAGGTGTTTGCTATAGGTTTTGATAATGCTACTAATAATACTGCTGATATACCTAGATTGCGTGAATTGTGTGGTTCTACTACTTTGATGGGTAAATTTTTTCATCAACGATGTGCATGCCATATAATAAATTTATGTGTGCAAGATGGTCTAAAAGCGTTGGGAGATGCTATGGAGGTAGTGAAGGGGGGGATTAGACGTATTTGGGCTAATGGTCAACTTAAATTAAAATGGAAAAATTATTTGAATGAAAGAAATGTGAAATATGTTGCTTTTCCTAAAGATTTGTCTATTCGGTGGAATAGTTCTTATAAATTAATTAGAGTTCTTATTAGATATAAAGAACATTTTCCTGCTTTTTTAAAAGAATATGATAACTACATTTTAAACTTTGCTCACATCGACACTTGCGAAAAAATTTGTAATGTTTTGATATTTTTTAATAATGCAACTGAAAGTTTTAGTCATGTTTATAAACCTACTTCAAACGAATTTATGCGTGAACTTGTTAATCTCGCCGGTGCTTTTAATGAATTTGAAAATGCCGATTATGTGAGCTATTTTTGTGGTTTTATGAAGGAAAAGTTTTTAAAATATTATGCACATATTCCGCATATTTATGGTATTGTATTTATTCTCGATCCTCGTTATCGACTTGGTAATTTGGAACAATGTTACAAGTTCTATTATCAATCTTTTTATGGTGATTTTCCAATGTATGAAGATAACCCTATAGATCCGCAATCTGAATACAACGAGGTTAGTATTTTATTCTATTCTTTATTTAATGAGTTTCGTGCACAATATGGCAACGCACCCCCTCCCCCGACCCAAACATCTTCATCTAAAGGAAAATCACTTTTTAAATCTGCATTTGGCAATCTTATGAAAAAAACTAAAACAACTCACACTACTGAACAAAGCACAATTAATGAGATTGCTTTGTATACTAACTATGAGGTTGAGTTTGTAGAAAATGAAGAATTTGACGTCCTAAAGTGGTGGAAGTCAAAAGAAAGAATGTTCCCGATTTTAGCACGGATGGCTAAGCAAGTACTATCAATGTCGGTTTCAACAGTTGCCGTGGAACAAGAATTTAGTTCGGCCGGCAACGTCCTAACTAAATCGAGAACGTGTTTGAGTGCCGAATCTCTTGAGACGCTTATATGCTACCACGATTGGTTGAAGGCAAGACGTAGAACTCAAGAACTTAGCATCACCCCCTCCCAAGACTTTATGGATGAATCAACCGAGGATGGTTCTACCTATGCCGGAGATTCCGATTGATTAGTATTTTACAATTTCTTATTTTATCCTCAATTCTCTATTGTAATTTGTCAACTTGTAGATTTGTAGTTCATATTTCAAATCAATATACATTATATTTTTTTATATGTCACAATTCTCAAATTAATCAAGTTACAACTTACAACTTAGATTCTTAGAAAGTTAGAAACTTACAATTAATTATATTATATTATTATTACTTATTACAAAATGTATTAGATTTAATTGTTCTCAATTCTCAAATGTAATTCCTATTTCACATAAATGCACTTGAAGATTGTTTTATAATATCCAAAAGATGTATATTTTAACAATAAAAAAAATACAGGCCCGACCCGACCCGGCAGTTCACCCGACCCGACGGTTCACCCGACCCGGGGCCCGGCCGGGTCACCCGGCCCGAACCGGCACCCGTCTACTAGCGGGCCGGGCCCGGGCCTAACTTTTACAAACCGAGGCCCGGCCGGTTCGCGGCCCGAACCGGGCCCGAACCGGACCGAGTCCAGCCCTAGCCAGAATCATTGGCTCTAAACGCAACTGCTTTGCCCTGCCCACAGTTATGGTTAAGGTCCTAACCTTGTAGGAATCTGATCTGGTTGATACAAAATTGGGTCGAGCTCACTTCTAACTTATGATTGGCATTTGTCAAAGGGAGTTGGAGTCTTGGAGAAAAGATCCAATTATAGTTTCACACTTTCACCCATGTTCAGTCACTGTCTTTCCTTCCAACCAAACACAACCTTAGGTGAAACTTTAAAATTTGGGCTGACAAATGATGTTTTCATTTGGATTGGTTTATGAGTCTTGGACCAAAATATATTTAAATAGATCATATTAAAATAAAAATAAAATAAAAATAAAATTATACCAGTATCAAACTATGAAATTTTAATCCAAATCGAAACATCTTAAATGTATTCATAAAGGCTTTTTAAAAGAAGGTTGTATATTGAAAGGGACTTGCAAGTAGTTGCAACTTCATCTTTTGTTTTCATTTACATGTGTTAAAATGAGGATAGTATGATACTATGATATACTGTTACATCAGAAAGTGTTATAAAAATGAAGTAGAAAGTGTAATAAAAATTCATCATAAACTAATCTTTCTTTCAAAGTATAATTTTTATATAAACGAACTAGTATAAATCTAAACTCAAAAGAAAAGTTTTTACATTTCTCCTTATAAAAGTATATTTTTTGTAATTTTGATATAGTGCGTGTTTGGATATCGGCTGTTCGGCCAAACCGCCGATTTTTATACACATGAAACGCTGCAATTTGCAGCATTCGGGGGGAGAAAACGCCGAAAATCAAACGCAACCATAATAGTATAATTATATAGAGTCAATTCCCTAAATAGGACTAAAAAGTGGCAAAATTGCACAAATAGGACTACATTTTTTAAATTCCCTTAATAGGACTATTTATGTGTGTTTGGACAAATATACCCTTGCAACTTGTAAAATGTTTTAATTAATAATAAAATCATAAAATAATTAATAAAAAACGAAAAAAATACTAAAAATCGTACAAAAAAATAATAGAAAATTAATAAAAATGTTTTTTAAAAAAATAAAAAAAAATATTTTTTTAAAAAAAATAAAAAAAATAAAAAGAAAATCATAAAATTAAAAAAAAAAAAACATTACCACCCCTGCCACCCCCAGCACACCAGCTCCCATCACCGGAGAAAAATATGCCAACATTTAAAATAATGCCATAATGATGGCATATTCAATGAAAATGTTGGCATATTGAAGAGTAATTATGTCATCTTTTTGGCATTTTCAGAAAAATATGGCATTTTTTTACCAAAAGTGGAAGAAATTTCACCAATCGGAGGTGGTGGTGCTGGGAGGCGGCGGGAGGCGGTGGGAAAGGTATCCATAATTTTTTTCATTTTTTTTTATGGATTTTTACTATTTTTTATTATTTTTTTAAAAAAATTAAAAAATTAAAAATTAAATTTTTTATTTTATAAATGTTTTATAACTTTTTTACGTTTTTAAAATAGTTTTTACGTTTTTTATGATTTTTATTATGAATTAAAGAATTTCATTATGAATTAAAAGTAGTAGTCCTATTTGTGCTTTTTAGGAACTCATTAATCCTATTTAGGACAATTTCCGAATTATATACTCCGTTTGTACAGCCGTACAGGCATACAACATTACGTGGGGCTGGACAAACGGCTATCTCATAAGTGGCTGATTAAATATCTTACTAGTTACTATATACAAAAGGAGGTGAAGTTTGTGCCCATGAGAAGAATGCATCCCGAACAGGCCAACAATGGCATGCTTAGCAATTTGATACGGGTCTAATTGGAAAGCTATGCATTTAATCACTCATGGAGACATGGAATTCAGAACAATGTATAACAGTGTCTATTGGGTAATCAATGCTTCTTTGGATATTGAATCACATTGACTAATAAGTTATTGTGAAATGAAGCCACACAAGTTTTACTCCTGAGTCCTACTCTTGAAACTCCTGGGAGCTAAATCATTATTTGTGTTTTGCTAAGTAAATTTCAAGTGACTGTAATGCATGACTTTTTAAGTCTTCCGGAGTGTTTGGACATTTTTGTTTCAATTTATGGTTTGACTTTAAATTAACGGTATTGTTTTGGATAAACGTTTTGCTCAAAGTAGTTAGTGTATGTCATGAAGGCAGATTAATGTCATTGAGCTTATTAATTGATTGTAAGATGTGATTTATTTTAGAAATGCTATCAACTAATGCTAAAATTTTCCGGGCCCGGCGGCACGATGGACTGCCCGGCCCTCTAGTATGGGCGGGCATGGACATGGGAGGAGGCCGTTTGATCCGGGCCGGGCCGGGCCCGACCATTGAAGTATGTAGAAATTTTAGATAAAGCCTGGCCCGAGCCCGTGTTTGTACAGGTCTACCTTTACCCGAAAATAATTTGTACAAAAATAATGCTCAAGTCTTAAAACCAAGCGGGTACCCACCCGTACCCAAAACCCGACCTGATCCAATCGGCCGTATGGAAACGACGCGGCGTGAAGTATAATTTCATGTTCGCCGTTACACACACCTTGTTTCGGAGAGAACTTCGGGAGACAATTTCTCATTTATTTCAAAATGGTTTTCTACAAATAATATATCGAAACGCTTACCTCACGGAGCACAATATGTCCTTGCATAGTTGCATATTATGAGAAATAGGTCCTTGCATATTTTAGCTCCAAAGTGACCAAAATAGTAATTTGTACACCATTTTTAGTATGGTTTCTGCTGACTTTACGGTAGAAACCATAAGCTTACAATTTTTATCTATTGCTTTCAGTTAACTAAAGGAAAAAATCGAAGGATACAATTTCTCTCTTTTAAATCAAGGGATTCTGTTTTCCTAGCATACATATGAATTGGTTTGCAGGAATACATATTCTGGTCCATAAGTGTCACTTTTACCTTTTTCTACTTTTTGAGGATATTTTAGATGCCCTTGAACAAAAGATGTGAGGAGATGATAAAGTTGTTCTTTATTGGACTGAAAATTTTCTGATTACCTGTTTAAATTGTTTAAGTCTGCATCAGATAGATGGTAGATGTATAGTGTGTGTATTTGCTATTATCTATGTACAATCTGTTAAAATTTATTCACTTTAGAATTGAAG